GAGCCGCTTCTTCGGGGCTCCGGCGGGATGAGGGGAAGGGGATGCTGCTGGCAGCAGCCCGTGGGCTGCGGGAGGAGTGTGGGTGATGTTTCGTGTCCAGGTCGTGCAGTGTGATAACCCCGAAGGTGGTGCACTCTGGGGTTAGGAGATGTCTGGATGCCTATTCCAAAGGTGTGCTGGGGTTACACTGCTGAGTGCCTCTGATGCTATAGGGTCACATCAGCACCTCCCTGGGATGGGCATGGGACTCCTGCAGATCGTTTACTGCTGAGTGCCCTTCTGGCCTATGAATCCATAGATGCATGGGTCTGGCACCATGCCTGTGTTTACAAACACTGAAGATGGTGGCAGTTATATAGAAAGTTATGGAGGAGTGTTTGTATGGAGTCAGTCCATCTTTTTTGGGCTGTTTAGCTCAGACTTTGCCCAAAGGGGTATATAAATAGAATATAGTTCTGGGAGCAGTATGGCTTACCTGGTCCAGGTTGGTTCTGCTCAAAAGTTTTCCTAGTGGCTTTTAAGTCTGAGATGAGCTGCCTGCTGTTTTAGCTTGGCTTTCTTGTAAGCTGGAATAATCATCTTGACTAAGCTCACCAAGTCTGAACAAAGGCAATGTGAGTGCTGTCCCATCCTCCAAAAGGAGGTGTGTGAGCAAGTGTCCCATCCCAACAAGCTTCCTCTATAGAAATATACAGCCTGCTAGCACTGCTAGTTACTGTAGTGCCCCGTTGTACCCCCATATCAGTTATAGACTTGTAATAATTTGGATGTCCGCAGTCCCCTCACATCTTGTTATAAATCTGTATCAGAGCAAATTCAGGCACCAGCTTCTTTAATGCCTGGAGGAAGTATTGCCTCCTCGTAGACTCAAGTAGCTGGTCTAGTTGGGAATCAAACACATTTTTACTGTAAGCTTCTGTTTTCAGCTGCATAGTTGTTGGGCTTGTCTCTGTCATGCTAGGTTTTGGCTCACAGATCTGTTTCATAAATCTAACCAGCCACTTGAGTGGACAGTGAGGAGAGGGGTAATGCCTGTTATAAGACTTTTCTGCTGCTCTTTGTGTTTGTATAACTCTGGCTTTGTTTGTAAAGCTTTAGACTTGGCAGATATGCAATTCTCTACACTCTTGGGTTGGGTTTTTTCCTTTACAGTAACCAGGTCTTAGAAGTGGTTAAATTTACAGCCCATGGGAAATGATACATGGTACATATTGGCTTCTGAAGGGACTAGACTGAAGTCCTAATATTAATGTGTGTTGTATCTGGGCTGCCTAACTGCAAATGTCTCAGATGGCTTGGAATAAACTTTGAGGGTATCGTGTCCTTAGACATATACACACCCTTTAAATAACCTGGTGGCTGTTTAACTCTTATAGAATGAAATGTCACCAGATAATTTCCCAACAGCATTAACTATTGGCCCTTATTATTCACTGATTAAGAAACTCAAGGTTTTTGACAATAATAAACTGATTGCATTTGGGTTTTTTTCTTACTACTTAAACAATGGTGACTGGAAGCAGGCCAAAGCTGTTTGGGGAGGAGGAATTGTAGATAAGCATATTGGTTGAATTTGGAGCCTCAGGAAGGTCAAAGCAACTGCAGTAACACAGCAGAGAAAGACAAGACCAGTTCCTTTTGTGCACCAGAGAAATGTGGATGTGCATTTTGCTGCTGAACAAACACAGTGTAGCAGCTAAGATTGTAAGAATGAATTCTCTACCTGCTGCTGACATCCTCTGGCCTTGATAAACTGGAGTCTGTTTCAAATACACCTGATATCTTTTGGTAAAATTGTTTAAATTCTCCAGTTTAAGCCTATGTGACATCCTGATTCACAAGGAATGTGATTGGCAGTGCCTTAAAGTTTTTACTTGTAATTGATAGTCTGTAGGCCACACTTAGCTCTGGAATGGTTGGTATATGGAATGTGGCAGAGTACTGTAACTGTCACTGCTTGCTGCACACGGGTGTAAAGTGGTGTTCTGAACCCCAAACTTGGATTAAAGGGGTAGTAAATGCTCTTGTCAAAGTCAGATTTGTTAATTTGTTGCTCTTAAAGATGAAATGTCTCATTCCAGGGTTCTTTGAAAATAGTATTTTTCAGGAAAGAAAGCAGGAAACCTGAGCCTGGCTGTGAGATGTTTACATTGGAAAGTGAACTCTTAAAACAGATACTATTGAAATTTCTTTTTGCACACACTTTGATTGCAGAATGAAATTTATATTATTGTAGGATGAAACAGTCAGTATTATGCAGTGTTATTGACGTACTTAATATCGTATGCAATACATTAAGTGATAGGGGTAGCAGAGACCCTAAAAGGAAGGTAAATAATTAATATCTAAAAAAGAAAGAAACCTTAAACTACAGCATGTTATCTTGTTTTTCACTGTTAGTAGAGCTATGTTTTTCCTAGAGACTGAGTAAAGAGTAAATAACTTCTAGCACAACACAGTCAACAAAAGCCTCTGAAGAGCAGGGCTAGAAAAGGCCTTGAGCAAGCACCTGATGTAGCCACATTCCCCAGGCCTGTGCTGGAACCAGCCATACCTGCATCTCTTCCAGCAGATTCTGTGTAACCCTTATTTTAAATTCCAGATGATGGAGATTCCAGAATATCCCCCCCCAGGCAGTGTGCTTCAGTGGTGAACTGCCAGTTTCCTCTCCCTAACATCTAACCCAAGTATTCCTCCCTGCAATTTCAGCCTGGAGCTTCCTGTCTTTCCTGCAATAGACATGGAAAATAGATTCCCTAACTCTATGCAGTGGTCCTTCATGCATTTAAAAATTGTTCTGTCTCTTGTCACTATTCCCTTCTCTAGACTAAACAACCCTTAGTATTTTCCAATCTTTCCTTGCAGTTCAAGCTTTCTGAAGTTGATCAATCCTGCAGAATTGCTTTGGACTCTTGCCAACTGGTCTCAGGTATCCCTGGAAAACTCATTGTATGAGTTGACACAACTTTGCCACTTGGCAGAACTGGTGTTGCCAAAATAAATTGAGGACTTCCTTTACTCTTTGTAATCTCAAATACAAGTTTTGAGCAGGGACTCTGACTCTGGATAGTGGGCAGGCAACTGGAAGGATTTTAAAAGTTGGAGCAGTCTGGGGAATTATGGCAGCGTTCTTCCCTGACGGGAGCTCGTTGTGGGTCCTTCTCTCACTTCTCCACTGTGGTGCCGATGGCCACTGAAGGGTGTTGGCCATCCAGGTGGTGCGTGCGGTTCCACTGCGGTATTGGTCTGGAGATGAGATGGATATTTGATATTGATATTTGCCCTGAAAGCCAAGCTCCCCTCACGCTGTGCCTGCCCTGCGGTGTGAGGGAGAGGAGGGAGTCCCTCGCGGCGGTGGCTGAGGGGCTGTAGG